TTTTATTTTTTCTCTGTATAAAGCCCTGCATTTTAGTGGCATTGTCACCTTACTTAGGGTGACACGATTTAAAAAAAGATATGCACATTTGCTAAGGAATATTGAGGAAAACATAATAATTAAGTAAACTGTCCTCCTTTCTTATATATCGTCTTTATTTAATTTGAGTTTTTCAGATTTGAATCATTTGTAATCATGCGTATTACATTTTGATGTCATCAGAGGACAGGTATGTCTAACACGGGTTATTTATGGGTTACGCTAATATCGACAGACGGTCACGCTCGGTCATTTGAGAGCCAAGGTTGGAAGGACATTGTCGCATGTTTGGCAGGAAACAGAAGATTTTCGCTTGAGTGTATATTTCGAAGACAGTCGTGAAAAATTGCTCAAATTAAAATATGTTAACTCTATTCATTTCGAAAATATTTTCTAAAATAGTAAATGGCATCGAAAGAAATATTTAAACATAAACGCATGTTGGTATATATATATATATATATATATATATATATATATATATATATATATATATATATATATATATATATACATATATATAGGCCACACCAATGGCATTACTCGGAATTTCATGCCAAATGCAATGTTAGGTTGAAATGGTGTGGAATATGTACATTATATATATATATATATATATATATATATATATATATATATATATATATATATATAAAACAGCTTTCTTATATATTTAAATACATTTAATTCTATATTTATATATATTTAGCATTTATATATGTTAACTTTTATACATATATTCATATGTGTATATAGACATGTATATATGAATATATATATATATATATATATATATATATATATATATATATATATGAATATGCATATATAGAGAGGAAAATTGATTGTATATATATATATATATATATATATACACTGGTATATATATTTTTTTGTGTGTGTATATATATATATATATATATATATATATATATATATATATATATATCCATATTTATAATTATATAAAATGCGATCATATATACATATATATCTATATATATAGAGAGAGAGATCGATATATGTAGATATATAGATATATATATTTGGTATATATCTGTCTGTCACTCTCTCAATATCTCTAAATATGAGGGACAAACACACAATTAGCGAGACAAACCAAGACACTGGGAGGTTGCAACTAAATGAGTTTCAAGTTTGCCAGTGACATTTTATATTCCCTTTTCAAGATACCCCTGGGGAAAACTACTCGGCGGTCTGTCTAAATATTTTATTCCAAATATCGCTAAATATTTTGTTTGACAGAAAAATATGAAAAAAAAGAAAAATACTTGAATGAATCTCACTTTCATAACTGCAATTATCGGCCTAGATATGAACAAAGAAACCTGTTATTACCATTTTCAAGCTTTTAGATGCTAATATATATATATATATATATATATATATATATATATATATATATATATATATATATATATATATATATATCATCTGTGATTTTTAAAATACTCTTCTCTCCCAAGGAAATATATCCACAGTACTACTAATTGATACAACTCATATGACTGAGAGATTTACACACACAAACAAACAAAATATATATATATATATATATATATATATATATATATATATATTTGTATATTTAGGCAGCAATCCTTCCTTTATGCATGTTTCATTAAAACGACAGACAAGGTACTACGGTTGAGCTTTTTATTTAATTTTTCTTGTGTTCTGACAAGAGCTTTCTTTTCTGGACAAAGGGTGTGTAAGAACTGTCCGAATGTTCTGTATTTCCGAGCGCTTTCGGCTATACCATTTTTCCATTATCAAGGATGATTCGATTATCAGCTTAGTAGAGTGTGTGTGTTCTGTGTATGTCTTAGAGTGTGGTAGTGATGTTTTTAGTTTCCGAATACGGTTAGCACATTGTGGCTTTGTTCATAGTTAATATTGTTAAGAGTTGGCTTTTTCTTTTTTATTATTAGAGCTTCCATTATTTTTAGTCTTTTTTTTGCAAGTGGATGCAGTTAATATATTAGTGTTTTCTACTAGTATGTTTCTAATAGTGTCGGGTATATCTGAGTGTGTGTTTAAATGCGTTCTGATGGAACTGTGGTCAGATAGGTGTAATGTAAGCCGTCTGGATAAACATGTGGTTGTGTAGCCGATGTAATTATTTATGAGTCCGGTTTGCTGAGGAACGCAGTTCCTTAAAGGGCATATGAACTCATAGATAATGTTCGTTCTTTGTAATTTTGACTTCGTTGGTGTGTTGTTATTTTTGAGGATAAGGTTGGCCGTCTTCAATTTTTTATAATAGATAATAAGTTTGATTTTTTATTCGGATCAATAGGAGTAGTATATTTCTTTATAATATGCCTTAGAGAAGATTCATCTTGTTTGTAATTAATATGCATTTGGTTTTTGTAATAAATGTGTATGTGATTTTTAGCTGTGTGTTCGCTGTGTTATTACTTGCTTTGGGGAGGAATAGTCTAATTTGTTGGTCTATAAGGTAGTTAGATCTGACGTTTTTAATGAAACATGCATATATATATATATATATATATATATATATATATATATATATATATATATATATATATATATATGTATGTATGTATGTATGTGTGTGTGTGTGTTAATAAATACACATATCCATAGATGTGCGACTCGAGTTACGTTGGTTCCCAAGTCATCGGGCATGAGATATAGCTTATTGCTATATCTCGTGCCCATTGACTTGGTAACGAACGCAACACTAGTCTCGCATCAAACGTAGGTGTATGTGTATTAATTAACATATATTTCTTAGCTCTGTCTAATCCCATTGAGCACTATTATGTCTACTAATGTTGGCTAAATTTGTTAATTATTTATATTATTATTATTATTATTATTATAATATATATATATATGTATATATATATATATATATATATATATATGAGATAGTTGGATATATATATATATATATATATATATATATATATATATGTATGTATTTATATATATACAATTTTCGTACGCTTCCTTGGAGTAACGTTCATCGCAGACAATGGCAGTAGTACAACTAATAGACAGTCGAGACGATAGTGTCTGGGTGTAAGAAAAATTTGCTGCAGTCACGGACGACGCAACATTTTTCACGGCCAAACAAATTTCATCATACACCCATAGATTCACATTACTGCACATCACTGCAAATGACTCGATCAGAGGAAAAAATAGAAATCGATTACACACTGTCACTCCCATCGTTTTGAAACTGACCTAATGATGTAAAAAGGGAAACTAAAACGGTTGTTTCAAGTAATTTGCACAAGGGAGTATATATATATATATATATATATATATATATATATATATATATATATATATATATATATATGTGTGTGTGTGTTAATAAATACACATATACCTCGAGTCGCAGGTATACGTGTATTTATTAACATATATTTCTTAGTCCTGTCTAATCACATTGAGCACTATTATGTCTACTAATCTTGGTTAAATTTGGTAGTTAAGGTAGCTAATAACTAGTTATCTCAGTTACCTAACACTGTACCTATATATATATATATATATATATATATATATATATATGTGTGTGTGTGTGTGTGTGTGTGTGTGTGTGTGTGTGTGTGTGTGTGTGTGTGTGTGTCTGTGTGTGTGTGTGTGTTTGTGTGTATTTTTGTATGTATGTATATTATGTATATATTGGATGAAAAGTACAAATACATGGTTCGAGCTTTCGACATTCGAGAGTCATCATCAGGGTAGATCAAATAAAAATGGTGGGTTTAGTAAAAAGCTCAAATGATGTGACAACGCTGATGACACATGTAAATATAGGTATAAAATATATGTATATAGATATAGATATATAAACGAAATATAAACGAAATTATATGTACACACACACACACACACACAGAGATATGTGTATATGTATAAACATTTCAGATTTTACCTGCAAAAGAACAATATGAATAAAGACAAAAGGAAAACTCATCTCTTTCACACGAATTTTGTCCTCTCGTCTAAGTTTCTAATCTCTCTCTCTCTCTCTCTCTATATATATATATATATATATATATATATATATATATAGATAGATAGATAGATAGATAGTATATCTACACAGGCATTTATTTGTAAGTGTACGTATTATTGTGCATTATTTATCAACCTTCAAATCAATATATATATATATATATATATATATATATATATATACACACAGAGACACATATAATTTCGATAATATATGTATGTCTGTATATCTGCATCAGAAAGTGACAGTGGAAATTTCTTGTATGTCTGCTTGATGCACATATTAGTGTATATAAAAATTGATTTGAAAATTGGTAAGTGATACAAAACTCTTTTTTTTTTGGCATGGGGAGGGATATTTATACAATTATAACCATAATGTATTGCCCAAAATTTTGGAAAATTACTTTTTTTTCCGCTGTATCCTTCCTCGAACCCTTTTTGCCAGGCGTAAGTAGTTTTTAGATACTTTCAAAAACGGTTGAAACCAAAAAAAGAAAAAGAAAAAACAAGTCCGTCCGAGGCTGTTCGAATTAATTGTCCGTACTTTGTATTCTTATCTATGGACACGTAAGTATTTTATCAAGCAATAGTAAATATTAGCAAAGAACAGGGGTAGGTCTTTTCTTCTAGATGGATGTCTTAGGTTAAAATTCCTAAAGCAAATTTAGGTGAATTCCCCTCCCACCTAAAATATTCCAGTTCATACAGACTAAGAAACAGAAATTGTCGTTCAGCAATAGAATTCTAGTAGCAGAATGATTTATGCACCTGTGTCAGGTGAGAGATTATTTTAAGAATGTCTGTTCACTTCCAGTTTCGTAAAAACGGAAATTATTTTTTAAGAATTTCAAATAGGATAATTGCCTACTATAATTTATGACAATCATGAGGTGAGTATACGTCATAACAGACACCTTAACAACGATATTATTGCATCAGCATTTTGTAGATAGATAGATAGATAGATAGATAGATAGATAGATAGATAGATAGATAGATAATTTGCTTATGAATATATACATAGCTTCATATACTAGAAAGAACAAATTTTATGAGGTGAGAAAGTTGAAATATATCCGAAGATATATTTCATGAGGGATTTGATAACAGAATTAAATACGAATTTCGCTTACCTGAGAAGCTTGATAGATAGCAAGATATCTAGACAGATAGATAGATAGATAGATAGATGTTTCAAAAGACTGAGATAGATAGATAGATAGATAGATAGATAGATAGATAGATAGATAGATAGATAGATAGATGTTTGAAAAGACTGAGATAGATAGATAGATAGATAGATAGATAGATAGATAGATAGATAGATAGATGTTTGTTTTTCATCTATTTTCTGAAATCAGAATCAGAGGTCATACACTTCAATGTCATGTGACCCTATGTCCGCCTATTATTCAGGCATACAGATTTTCGATTACATTGATAATGTGTTTTCCACACACACAAACACACACACATATCCATCTATCCATCCATCCATACATACATTCATACATACATACATATATATATATATATCAGATAATATATATATATATATATATAATATATCTATCTGATATATATATATATATATATATATCAGATAATATATATATATTTCAGATAATATATATATATATATATATATATATTTCAGATAATATATATATATATCAGATAATATATATATATATATATATATATATATATATATATATATATATATATATATATCAGATGACGATATATATTATTATATATCAAGAACAATATCGGTGAAAATTTATGACAATGTATAAAATGTTTTTTATGCGTTTCGTCCTTTAGGAATTCATCAGATTAAATTTCTGGTGTGACTACAGATGCGCTTGACACACACACACACACATATATATATATATATATATATATATATATATATATATGTCAGTGTGTCTCTGTATGTGTGTGTGTGCGTGCGCGTGAGTCTGTTGTTTATTGCCATTTGTTATTTTCCTAGAGGTGACCTTGAATAAATATGAATAACTTCTAAAAAAAGTAATCTTGTTTCAGTTCATTTTACTATCATTGTATTATCAAAAAGAAGTTTTCTTATTTATTACAATTCTGGTGCTTCAGTATATCATTGCTACATTACGAGTTTGACGGCTATATGACATGTGAGTCTACAGGGAAGGGTTGTGTTTGTATATACTATATCAGATGCTACATTATTTTATAGAAATAAAAATCTCAAAGAGGGCAACTCAGTTTGTAATTAGACTTACATATATGATTTTATCATTTTAAGCTTTTATTATTGACTTGAAAGTTAAAATTTTAATTTGTTTTTATAAGGGATAATCCATCAAATATATATTGGCGATCTCAAGGTTTTAGACATATGAGAGATCGGAAATATTTTTAAAAATTTACATAACTAATATAATTTTCTTCAACCAGAGGAACAAAATCATCACAGGATTATAATTCTCGAATGAAATCAAACAAAACATGAAAACTTAATAAACAGTTATATGACAAGTACAGAGCTAATAATTTCAGGCTTAAACATTAATTAATTAGAGAAAAAAAATTTTAAAATATGGACAAATTGTCTATTTTATTGAATTGAGCGCATTTATATATGCAAGCATACACAGACACATACATACGTACATATATATATATATATATATATATATATATATATATATATATATATTACATATACTCAAATGGATATATATAAGTAAATGTACGTGTAACTGTTGATATATAAATATATATATATATATATATATATATATATATATATATATATATATATATATATATATATAGTTATTCAGATAGATAGATAGGTATTCTTTGGTGTAAGAAAAAGTGCTCTATGTTAAATAAGAGAGATATGAAATATATATTAATATATATACATAATACTTCTCGCTGACAGTATATATATATATATATATATGTAAGCAAATATATGGATATAAATCCGACAGTATGAAAGAAAAATACAGAAAAAACAAAATTCTGAATATGCATTATTAATGTTAAAATAAAGTCGACGTCGGACGTTTCGGTCTATTTAAGACCATCTTCATGGACATTTTCATTTAAACATAATTAACATTATAACTTATAACAATTTAACACAAAAGTTATCTGTTTGAATTAGTTGGGTTCTTATGTCCTTCGTCTTTTGTGTTAAATTGTTATAAGTTATAATGTTAATTATGTTTAAATGAAAATGTCCATGAAGATGGTCTTAAATTGACCGAAATGTCCGACGTCGACTTTATTTTTAACATTAATAATGCATATTCAGAATTTTGTTTTTTGTATTTTCTTTCATATATATATATATATATATATATATATATATATATATATATATATATATATATATATATTTTATTGAATTGAGCGCATTTATATATGCAAGCATAC